ACGTTATTCAACGTCCCTAATGGAACGCACTCTACGACTTATCATGGCTCTGCCAAAGGGTATAGTCCGCAAAAAGCAACTAAACTCATTCCAATACTCAAATCATTCTTATGTCTCGTTGCAATAAGACTAATGTTACAAGTTTTGAATTGAAATTATTTCCAAAGTGATGTATCGCCATTTCCATTTGTTTTACACTTGTACGTACCAACATATTCTTAGGACACTTCTTCTGCATGCTGCCAAATATTGGGTTTTTACAATGTTAAAGAATATCTTAAAACAGTTGTGTCACGTCTAAAGTTGACTTTAAGAATATCTTGAACCATAAGACTGAATGGGACTTCTTTCTGTCCCTGAAACATTGTGTTTCACTTTGGAAATAAGCGTTTAAATTGAACATTTTACAGAATGTCCCACCAACTATGGACCACCCTCATAACATCTAATTGGTTCTTGACATCGGAATACAATTTTCGCTCAACAATGCAGAATCATGAGCCAGATAATAAGCCGTAGATATATTGTTTGAAATATTTTTAGTTTTTACGACATTAAATAGTCTTTCATTATTTAAATTAAATTATGTATTTTATCTCCAATAGATCATAAAAAGAGGAATTCAATAATGTTTCATATGTTACTATTTTGATAGGAATTTGAGTATAAAAATAGACTTTCTGACGTGTGATGTTAATGTTTAGGTAATATATTTTGAGTAAAAATTATTCTTTCTGATTGCAATATGTGAATTTAAATTGAACATGAAATATTTCTTGTAGCAGCCCTTGCAACTGTCATCTTTGGGAAAGGTAGCCTTCACGGCCTTCCCCCTAACAGTGCCGGCGCCACCTTCCTCAAGAGCGACAGTTGCAAGGGCTTCTACAGTAAATCTTTCCATGTTTAATTCACACATTGCAATCAGAAAGAATAATTTTTACTCAAAATATATTATCTAAACATTAACATATGTTACATAATTGCGTTCCTATTTTTACGATTTCTTTACTGCAAGGAGAAAAATAAATGGTTCCATTTACAATAAATCAAAGATGATAAAATATCTAAAACAAAAAATATATTTAAAAAAATAACCCTACAGCACTGTT